CGGGCGCGGCGGCCGAGCTGGCCCCTCAACTCCGCGCGGGGCCGGCGCTGGGCGACGAGCGAAAAGTCTCCAAAAGATGCGGGGAAGGAGTGCTCCGCCTTTGGCAGAGGAGTTATAGTTCCCAGGCTGGAGAGTCTCTCCCTGCCCCTCTTTCGCTCGCTCGCCCGCTCGCTCTTTCTCTCTCTCACCGCGCTGCAGTTTGCTCTGGCTGGCGGCTGTGAGTCTGGAGACCGTGTTAGAGTGGAGAGGAGTTTCTTGAAGGCTGGTTGCAGATGCTTCCAAGGCAAGTTTCTCGCCGCCTCCCGGGCAAGTCTTTTTTTTTTTTTTTTTTTTTTCCTTCCCCTGAAGCAGTTGATTCCAGTTCTCGAGCGCTCTCAGGAGCTCAGGAAAGCGACATTGTCTCTATCACTTAGTCCCTCTCCTACAATGCAAAGCAAAAAAGACTCTGGCTCCAGGACTCTCTGTGGGCGGAATCGGCACTAAGGAGTTTGTGCAATTATTTTGTTGCAAGGTAGGAAGCCAAAAAGCCTTCATGCAACAGACTGGCATGAATAAATGTATGTTTCCCCCTCCCTTCTGCAAGAAGGGAGCTGGTAATGGCAGAGTTCCTCCAGTGCAGACTCTTAAGGAGCGTGCAAGAACTAGAGACCCGGGAGCGAAACGGGCCTCTTCCCCTCACACACTGTTTCTCTTGCTGCAGCTTAGAGCAGACCCCAATTCCGCCTCGCGCTTCTTTATCCTTTCACAGTCTTGGCCGCGGCCAATCAGCCGCTGTAACCAACGCTTCCTCGTGCCAAGCCCCTCCCCCGGGCTTCCCATTGGCTTGGAACCCGATGCAATAATAATCTCCGCGTGCAATGAGAAGCTCCAAATCTGACCTCATTCCAATTTACAGAGCAAACTTTTTAAAAGGGCTAGAAGTACAGCTGAGATTTCTGCTGCCTTTTTTCCTTTTGCTCTGTGTGTGTGTGTGTGTCTAGTGTGTGTAGAGGATGTTAATGCATGAAATTATTAAGGAGAGAGACGGAAATGTATTCTAACCATTATGTTAGATAACAAGGGACTTGGAAGGGGGGGCAGGGTGAAATACTGTAAATGGAAGCTTTCTGCTTAAAAGCCAAGTGATTATTTTTATTAGTTCTTTTCAGTATTAGAATAAAGAATCAGCCTCTCGTGCAAAATCTGTTCCTCTGTTCCTTCATCAAGCCAAGGAGGTAAAAGTAGGGGGAGCCACAACAATAAATCAGGGGATATTGAAAACCATTAAGAAAGTGGTACCTAGACACCTGTCATCACAATTACTTCGACAACTCGAGGTACAGCACAGATGTTGATGTATTGTATAAATCCCTCCAGAGCAATTTTTGTGCTGTTTGTGGAAGGCGGAGAAGAGGAATTTTTGCAATAATTGCTTGCTCTCTTAACCAAACAGGGGTTAACTACGGCTATTTGATGATTTAAGCTCCCCCATAAATCCTGGATAGCCCAAACAGAGGAGCTTGGGGTTGGCACACAGTATTCTATAATTAACTTGAGGGAGAATTTCCACAGAGCTTTGTATAGAATGATAATGGAATGCAGTCAAGGATGGGAATCGATTTTACTTTCTAAATATTTGTCTTCTGCATTTTCAAAATCATCGGTTGCTTCACCCTCTTTCTCTTTACATGCATTCGCGTGTGTATATTTCGTTTTTTTGAATGAAATGGAACTAAAAGACAAAGGTGAAGGGAAGCTGTGAAGGCGGTGGTGACCAGTAGCAGAGCAGAATGGAGCCTCTGCATTTATAGGAGACCTGGCAGTTAGTCCTTTTTACTGGTTTTGTAACTCTGGGGATGTGACCAAGTCTCGGTTTTCCTCATCTGTGAGATGGGAACACGAGAACCTGTACAAGATTATTCCGATGGTTCTGCGACTTTGTTGTATGGATAAGAGACCCTCGGTGAATGCTGTTATCCTTCCCTAGAAAAGCCTCGCCCTGGAGATTCTGCTTCTAGAGAAGCAGCAGCATGTTGTTGAGGAACTGAAATTGAGGCTGACCGTCGGAACTGAAGTTGAGGCTGACCGCTGCCACTGACAGTTGGTCATTTAATCACAGATCATGGGTGTGAGCCACACAGAGAAAACAGTCTATTCAGCACATGTGTTTATTTGGCCACAAAATTTGTCCCTGTCCCAACGTGTGAAAATTAGAATCATGCTAAAGATCGGCCTTCCCTAACACCATAATAGCAAACCATTTTCTGCAAGATAGTGATTGGTGGTTTGGAAGGGCCAGCCTGACATAATTCAGCTAGTTTTAGGCTCATATCAAACTAGTGCTGAGCAGTAGATTTCTATTTATCTTGTCAAACTCTTATGGTATGTAGTAGACTGGCGGGAGGCCCAGGATGTCAGATTTTGAGTTTTTAGTGAAAAGAACACCTTTGGGAGACACGGTTCTCTAAGAATCAACCCCAGACAAGAATTGTTTTTTGGTAAAAGTGAAAAAAAAAATTCTTTGACCATTATGTTTCTTGTTGAGGGGGAAACAAATCTTACAAACAAACCAACATAAAACCCACAGGCACCTTTTTTGCATATTACAAAGCTGGGTGTGTTACCCTGCATTTCATTTCCATTGGCATGCACACCAAACACACACCTAAATGTTATCAATTTGAATCGTTACTCTTATAAAAGGCCTATTATTTATAAACTCAATCTTTTCACTAGGACAAAAAAGAAGAAACACTGTATTTGAAGAAGACTTGTACCAACTGATGAAGTGTGACTAGATTGTGTTAATTCAGTCTAAGTGAGTATCAGTATAATTCATTATTTTTCTACAGCCATTTATGCTTCCATCACTGAACATCATGTGGGAAAGTGGAAGCCAGTCAGTGTAGCGGTGGCCATTTTTATTTGTGTTTAACCAGAAGGCTTTTCAGAAGTGGGCTTAAAAAAAAGTCACTAACCTATTTTTATAGGAGATATGTTCTCTGTATTTTAACGAATCTAATAGTTGTAAAGACACAATATTGTTAAATGCCACTAAGAAAGAAAACCTGCCAGTAAAACTGACATTCATCTGATTCTAGGCATCTTCCTAGTTCAGAGATGTTGACAATGGAAAAAAAGAGTTCTTTCTAGAATTGAAGAGATGGGATAGTGTCTATGAATGCTTAGACTTCTGCAGCAGGTTTGTGCGAGTGTGCCCTGTGCTAGTGGCTGTCTTAAAATGTAAGAGAAAGCATGACAAGTGGAAAGCTTTTTATTATAAAAATTACCTTTCTCGCCAATTGAGTAGTATGTGCACACCAGAATATATTGAGTTTCTGAATGCCTAGTAATGAGAAAAGATTTCTGTGTTCTCATTACCTAGCTGTATTATTTGTAACCAGTTCTCCAGTACTGACATTCCCCCCCCAAATGCTAGCTCTTTGGTGGCCCCAGCTAAATCAGTACTCAGTGTTCCCTCTGCTGGCTTTACAGTACATGAAGTATTCTTAATGCTACACTCTAAACCATATTAACAGTAAACCAAGATAATTTTGCAAAATAACAAAATCCTGTCCTAGAATAATAAACTAATTGTCTTTACTGGCAGTGATGCTAGACATTTCAAACTTAAATTATGGTAAATATTTTTTCCATGAAATAAAGACATTCTGTTTGAGGTGCAATATAATATCCACTAATTCATTCCTTTTCTTCTGCTCTCACACACCTGCACAACATAAAACCTCACATCCACAAAATGGTATGGATGGAAATAAAATTCTGCCCTACTGTTTAACAGATTCCTATAGCACAGGGGGAAAAGAAAAAGAGAATTAGTTTAACAGATCTCCTGGATTTGCACTGATTTGCAAAATTTTGCCTTGCCTTGATTAGAGCAGCTAGCCTGACTTATTCAAGTAAAACAAGGGGGTAGCCCAGAGAGACAATCCTGCCTTTGTTACTTTTTACAGACAGAGAAGTCCTGAGAAATTTGATGTCATTGTCTTTTGTCAGCTGGGAGAACCCCATGCTTTTCAGATGCACTTCATGGAAAAGGACCCTCTTTGCAAGGCTGATTTACAAATTCCTCTGTGTAGCAGAGGACACAGCTTGCTCTCTGCCCTTTGGGCTGATGAAGTTGTGCCGGACTGGGACCTGTCTCTAGACGGCGGTATTAAAAAATCAGGATGGGCAGATAATCCTTACTTGCTAAGCACTGAAATAGGGCTATAGGGCAAAATGAAGCCCATGCATTATTTTTATTCTCCAAATAAGCTAAGAGGTAAGAATCCTGCATTCCTAATCATTTTTACCACTTTGTCCTAACCAGGGACTTGTACCTGTAGGCATATGTACCAAGGCCAACTCGTTTTTCCTTAACTCTCTCTTTTCTCATGAGAACAAGCAGAAAACGAGTGTTTGCCTGCGCCAGGAGATAAGAAGCCTGGGTGTGAGCCTAAGCTCGGTGTCGCGAGGTGCAGGGAAGGCCCACCCACGGGAAGCCTGGTTTGCTCCCAAAGTGCGAAGCAGCCGCCGCCAGGTGGCAGCGCTGAGCCTCCCTGCGCCCTCGAGGAGACGTGGGAAAACGGGCACCGCCAGACTTCTTTATGTCCCTCCCTGCTCTCCCGAACCCCTCTCCTCCTCCTCTATTCTACCTTCTTTAGGTAGCCATTTGAACTACTGCGTGTGAGAGAGGGCGTGTCAGAGAATTCTGATGATTCCCCCCCATAAATAGGAGTTTAGGGCCACCAACCGCCGCCTCCTGTTTACTTGGCAGGAGCTCCTGCCACCGGGAAGCCGAGGTTAGCCTGGGGTTTGGAGCTAGTCAGCGCATCCCGGAGAGGAACAATGACCGCGTCCGTGTACTCGTGCAAAGCGACAATGAGTTGGGGCGCAGTTGCGCCAC